ATCCGGGTTCCCACGATGCGCTGAAACTTTACTGTGTCGCATGAGGTTGGGCGTGGCATTTACGAATTCGTACTCTCGTCTCCTTGGAATGGCGAGCACTTCGGCATGCAACATCTGCGCCTGCGAGGAAACGCTTGAGCACATTCTATGTCATTGCCCAGCATACCAGACCGAACGACGTATTATGGAAGCCAAGCTCTGTCAGCTGGATTCACGGCCGCTTACAGAAGAGAAGATCCTGGGACCTTGGCCGACGGCTTCCCATACGCGCAAAGCCACGAAAGCCCTCTTGCACTTTTTAAGGAACACCAAACTTCACGACCGCTTGTGAAAGAACTGTGCGAGGCCGTGCTGTGTAGTTTCGAGCTGACTATTTATGCTTCTCTTTCTTACTCCTCTTCTTTTCTGTCTCTTTTCGTTCTATTATTCCCCTTTTCCCCCACCACAAGTGTAGGGTAGCCAACCGAGCCAAGCTTGGTTAACCTCCCTGCCTTTCCTCTCTATTTATCTCTCTCTCTCTCTCTCTCTCTCTCTCTCTCTTTCAGTATGCTAATCATCGTCCAATTCTAATCTGTACAGATCGAGATATGGTAATGCAATGAGTATTTCGTATTTAGTGGACATTTACTCGACTTATCCTTAATCCTAGCCACGGTGGTCGCGTTTTGATGCAGGCGAAACGATTGAAGACCGTGTACTGTGCAGTGCACGTTAAGGGAAACCAGATGGTGGAAAGGTTCCGGCATGTTCCCATCATATCGTGCTTCTTGGCGCATAGAAACCCATATATTATTCGACACATATGTTTCTCACTAGGCGCACTGAACGCAGTGCCATCACGCACATTCCCTTCTTCGTCGTCACTAAATTTACAGCGATAACGTGAAAGCATCCTTTTTTCAAGGTGCCAGATAGTGGACGCAAATAAGGAAATTCTCGCGCACGGTTTCCGGCTTCTGCGCGATACGTGTGTATAGCAGCACTCACGTGAATCACCGCAAAAGGTTCGTTCTTGCTTTTCAACTCCACTCTCACGGAAGACGCGTGCCGCTCGGCATCGCTAAGTTGTGGGCGTCAACGTCGCTTCATGTCAGGTGGAAAGGTGGCGCTTTATACAGGCTACTGCGCATAGGTGGCATACAGAGCGCGCTTTTCTCCGCGCGAACATATTATATACGGCTGCTAAAATTGGCACTTTGTAGCTCGTGTTTCTCGCGCGCTGACGGTATTTTTTTGAAAGCATTCGCTACGCCCCGCAGCACAGAAGTTTTCTTTTTTTTTTACCTCTTCCCATCAATCGGGCATCGCTTTCACAGACTTCCCCGTCAGTGCGCAACTCGCCATACTTGATGGCCTCCAAGTGAAACACGAAGCCAGCGCTCAATTCGACGAAGGTGCGAAAAAAAAAGTTTCAACGCATTAACCGCCACTAGCTTTCAGTGCTGCTTTGTTTCACTTTTATTTGTGTTCCTTCCCCTCTTTGCGACATTCTTGCGTGTTCTTTGGCGGTTTACATGTACGTACCAGGAAATGCGTTGGCACGGCTCGTTGATATGCCAGCTTTGCCTGCGTGCATAGACGCGAAACTGGAGGCGTCCCACTGAGTGGGCTCTCTGTAAACATTCGCGATGGGAAAGAACGTGCTTTGCGACCTCACGTATTCCCCGCGACACGGCCAAAAACAAAAATTAAGGAAACTGTGGAGGTGTGAGGCTGTGTCCGCGTACCTTCGAAACTGTGCCGATCTAACTTGACAGACACACGAACGCACACACGTATAAGTACAGTTACTTGTGTACTTCTACATCTATTTACATCTCATCGTAGTCGTTAATCAACTGCACCAACCAAGCGCGTTGAAGATGATATTTCAAAAAAAAAAAATAGAGAGACATCCAGCTTTCCGTCATACTTTTGGTGGCAAGTGAGAGCAATCGACGACACCTCGTAGTGAAGTTCGACTATTAGTGAACTTGGCAAGTCAGTGAGAATAGTTACTGGTTAATATTACTCATCAATAACGAGCCTTACGTTTGAAATCTCTACGAGAGTGCGTTCAAACTTTTATTTAAAAAAGACATGAAAGAAGGTGAACTTTTCTCGAGATACATAAAATGCCTTGCGATGTTCTTTCTACTATTCAATCCAAATTTCAGCACTGTACCTGTCATTGTTACCAAACTGCATTTGCTATTTAAGAGAACGTAACAGTGCACTGTATACTCTCTGCGCCACATCATTTTTATCGCGCGAGTGATATTGAACATTATACCGTCATACTAAACTCAAATCGATGAAAAAAATAACTAGTTGGCAGGAACGAGCAGCACCTTTATTTGATGCACTAACAGCACAAGCTCGCACGCTTCTTTCCCCGTCCTTCAAGCTAATGTATACGCAAGTATATACGGCAGACTTGAAAACGCATCATTATGCCCGCCCAGTTTTCGTCCTTGCGCTAGCGAGCCGTAACGCCGAAATCAATCAGATTGTTCTCCCGCTATTTCCAATTACGAAAAAAAGTCATGACTTCTGCAGAACCTCCATCCTTAGACCTCTGTCAACCACTGCAAACCATCACCTGCACGCAGCAGCTCGACGCCCTCCACGACCCTTACTGCTTTCTATGCGCCACAGGCTACTATACCAAGAGCACACATTTGCGTATTCTCCAGAGCCTAGCCACAGCTGCGATCTCTCGATTAGCGACCTCAGTGCGACAACCACTCGGTTATCTCCGCAGCGGATGGCTTGCTTAGCCGGTTCGCGTTTCTGCAATGAGCCGTTTTCTGACGGCCGGCGCGAGCAAGCTCAGGCGCAACCGGCATCAAGATGGTCACTCGAGGTCGCACAAAGGTCAACGCAACGCGCGCGGGCGATAGCCAGCGAGTGCCGCAACACAACCTGTCCCTCGCTAAAACGGTGCAGCAAGCTGGAAGATGGAGCGCTGATTCACGCAACAGTTCAACTATTTATAGGTTCCTCACGCAATGCTCCCCGTACTCGCAGGTGTACAGCCCGAACAAGAACATAATGGTCAGAGCGCCCCGAAGTTGACGCAAATGTTTCGGCATGATTCACTACCCGCGTTCTCTCCTATCGAGATAGCCGATCGTGTGATATCTAAGTCTGACGCAGCCGGTCACAAAGGGTCACTCTTGGGTTAGCTGTAACTTGGACTTGGAGGTCTGTCTCGGTCTTTCAGGTATCCCAGCGCTGCACGCTTTTCGAACCGACAGGATACATATAGAAGTCTGACGGCAGGCTTGCATTTAGGCACACTCGCGCTGCCCGTTCTCGGTTCTCCAAGCATTTGTTGCGCCTCCTCATCCCTCTGTGTCTAGGCATACGCGCCGTTTATAACGGCCCGCGTATTCCTTCGCGGGAGAAAAACGGAGGACAGAGTGGCTCGCTGCCGACGTGTCCGTGCTGGAGGAGCCTCGAACGTTCAGCAGCGACCACTCACGCGAAGGAGGCGCGGTCTCGTGTCCCTAGACCGTTTGCCGTCCAATCCATCTCTGTGAAGGAAAGGCGCGCTCTCGTGTCGTCCCGCTGAGCGCTTAGGTCGAGATGCCCGAGTTGGCTGACCCGATGGTCAGCCGCGCGCTTCGAGTCTCGTTGCGAGTGCACACGTGCGCTGAACACACACAGGCGAGTGATCTAGCAAACGCTGAATATACAGTGCTCGCGAGTGCGCATGCGCGAGAGAGCCTAGCGGAGCAGCACATCTGTTCTTACACGTACCTCTCTATCGCGTCAGGAACGTCTCATTACGTAGCCAGCGCGGGACGCCGTCCCGAAATCGATCACTCCTCGAAGCGCACGTGCGCTGCGTGGCGGAGTTTTGCGTGCGCCGCCATTTTCGGAGTCCTTGCTCAGCGAGGAGATTTTTCAGCCGCCGCTGGTTGATAGTGGCGCTCACGAACCGAGAGTCGAGTGCGCGCCAAACCGGAGGGATTAGAAAATAATGGGCCATCTGTGCGCCATGATCGAGGCACTGAGTGGTGCCGTACGCGGCTGCCACATGCTGTACCGCAGTGGGGCCACCTTTCAACAGGTCGTGTGCGTTTCTCGCTTGTGATGCATCGCGGGAAGTATGCGATTACGCCGTCGTTAGACTTCCGCGTGTAGCGATCCACATAGGCAACGTGAAACTCCAGAATATCCTTGGCTTTCAACGTGTCCAGGACCAAGCAAACGCGATTAATGGGCATAGCCCGAAGCGTTCGCTTCTTCCTTGCCTATTGACTCGATGGTTTCGAGCGTCTCTCGTATCACTGCGAAATAAAGAAGTATTGAGGGCTGACAGACTTAGTGGCGATTAAGTGATGGTAGAACATTCGCTGAATAAGGAAGTGATTGAGAGTGGTAGAGCACCGTAGCTTTCTAATGCCAACGTCTCATCAAGGAATGCCGTCTTTAGCTGGGCCCTTTGCCACCTATACGAAACGTTTGTACAGGGACGTCCGTCATTTGACCAGCTGTTCATTGTAGAAAGAGTTCATACCATTTAGTCGCTTCGTTTGTAAAAAACGTCGCAGCTTATAAGCTGTGAAATTACCCATTACCCACTTAATGTGTATAATTATCGCAATAGCCTTCTTCACAAGTGTAAGTAGATTGAAGTATACTGTTCAAAAACTACTTAGACAAACTCATATTTATTATTATTATTATTATTATTATTATTATTATTATTATTATTTTATTTCAATGGAGCATAATCTTTATTGACAACCCGGAACGCACTGAACTTGCCACTGTCCCATCGATTGCTGCCGCCCACTAAATATTTTTTTTTAAATAAACGCTTCAGTAAGCCACACAAGGGCAAAATAGATTCCGGAGAATAACTGCAATAATAGTTTTCTTACGAAAGTTCCTTTCAAATGACTTGTTGGAAAAGTGTCGAGCGACTTCATATAACCGAGCTCAAGGTATTATGTGAAAAATTTTACAATTAATCTCTCTGTCTCACTCTCTCTCTCTTTTCATTCCAGGTGCACTTTGTGGCCAAAGATGAAACTTGATTCGGCACTGTGTGGCATACTGAGCATCATGTAGGGCAGGCAAAGAGAAGAAACCCCTTCTTCTATGGCAACGCTGCCCGAGAACGTGATCATTATGGAAGTTTACAACGACGCCGACTTGAGCGACCCGGCGCCAGCTTACAATGGCGAGCAGAGCCCGCCTCCGGTTTTGCTCAAACCATCCGTAGCTGGAACAAAAGACTTCGTCACCGTCGTGTCCGTCGAGGACTCCGCCAGTGGCAGTGTCGCATCGCAGGGGCAGAAGGACCACGACAATTACGTGACGCTACTGGAAGTCGATGAAACGCCGAGCGCCACGGAGGAAGTGCTCGTGTACCGGCTTCCCGGGGAAAGGCTGGGCATGGCACTCAAGTTCGTCGGGGGAACCGCCGCCGGCGACAAGGTGTCCAGGGTCTTCATTCAGTCCATCACTCCCGAGAGCCCGGCCTCCAGGGCGCAGTGGAAGATATCGCCCATCAAGGAAGGTGACGAGATTCTCGAGATCGGCGACACCCCCTGTCACATCCATGACTCGTCTCGACTGCGTCACGCTTCTCCGAGACTCCCCGGTATGTATCAAACTACTACTTCGACATCAAGGTGACACGTCGGCGGGCAGAGCTCGAAAAAATCCCCCGCCTCCGATCCCACCGCGGAAGTCTTCCATCGGAGGGTGCAACGGAAGCGACCCCGCAGCATCAGCCCCTACGACGAGCGTTCGGCAGCATGTCGAACTGTTCGAAAAGCATGCATCGGGTATCGAACGCAGTCCGTCCCTGCGAAGGCCTTCCATTCCCCCGCCGTTGCCTCCCCGCCGACCCAAGTGCAGCCACTCGGACTCGGAAGAACCGTCACCGACTCCTGCGTTTCCGGGCATGTCGCTGAGCATGAGACTTCCGGGTTGGGAAGAGCTTATGCGGAAACGCGGCAGTGGGGACAAAGGCGACCGCCCTGTCCAACCAGACTTCTACGTAGACCTCCTGGCCGAGGAGGACAAGAAGCTGCTGGAGTGCGAATCAGACGACACCGGTAGCTCAGTGTCGACCGTCATCGAAAAATTCTCGCGAGCGAGCACCGCCAACTCGAGTTTTTCGGAGCACACTCGGCAGCAGTCGCTCGACAGACCATCGCACACGTTCGATCTCGAGAAAGTGCTGAGCCCTTCGAGCAGCTGGAACGAGAACTAGACGGCCACGAGGAAACGTGCGTCGACGACGACGACGAGCAAGATCTCGATTTCGTTGACGATCCAGGAATCCTCAATGACGGAAAAGACGCGCTCTGCGACGTCCTGGGTCTACCATCGGCCATTGCGCCCCCGGAATCCTTTCAAGACATGTCGTCACCGCAACATCACCTTGACGAGGACATTTGCGAAGACACGGAGTACCGCTTGACGTCGGATGAAGACCCAGAATCGAGACCCGACACGCTATCTCCTCTCCAAGAACAAGAGGAAGGCTCGGACCAAGAGGTTGGCATGGAACTTGACAGGCGGCTAGGGGACGCAAAAGAAAACCACGTCGCGGCTGCTATGGCTCTGGACAAGTTACTGCAGCTGAACTTTTGCTCATCTGAACCGACTTCACGTCATGACGATCGCGAACGGCCATCACGCGTTGAAGACGAGTGCGGCCCGGAAGAAGATTGCTTCCCGGAGGAAGAGGAGGAGCTACCTGCCGATGTCAACGAGCAGCGTGGTTACGACGACGAGAGCGACCGCATCACCTTCGAGCTGCACAGACCTTTGCAGCCGGCGCAAGATCTGCTGTCATACTCCAAAGTCGTCAAAACGACGGAGCACTGCTCGAGCTCCACCGTCGTTATCCGCAACGGTCTGCTCGACTCGCGTGGTAGCCAGAGCTTCTTCGAGACGCTAGAAAAAGTGGACACTTGCTTCGCGTCGCCTGCCAATAAGGAGACGCTCAGCGAGCACACAATTACCATCTCCAGTCAGCGGAGAGACGAATTGGTTGGACGTCCTGCGAGCAGCACGGACATTGAACTAGAACCGGAATACAAAGACCCCCTGCGCACATACCAGAGCTCCGCTTGCGTCACTCTGACCCCGGGTGGCAGTGAATCTGGCAGCCACGGTGAACCGGAGGGCCCCTTGAACTTCGCCTCGCGCTTCGACGGCAGGTGAGTGTCTGTGCGTATACCATACGATCTGTTGTTGGGTAACGCGCTTGGCGCCGCTGCGCGCTTTCACCTTTGAGCAACCGGGCTTCATTAGCGAGTTCTTGCGGCCCCTTGCCCAACGGTGACTGCGCGCACGAGCGAGGGGTGAGCGCGTTTCCCGCTATGTCGCCGGCGGGTCACGTTCGGGTCACGAGCCGCAAAACTTGCTCCGGATAAGGCGCGCCCCGCTCGGACCGCGCCGAGTGCACTCGTGGTTCCCCATTGTGCCCGTCGCCAAGAGAAGACGCGGTCGCACCGCGCGACGTCTCAATTTATGGCGCCATTCAGCGACCCGCGCTTCGCCAACGACCCTCCGCATAGCGTGTGGCCGTCATTCCCCTTTCCTCGCTACCGGACGTCCTTCCATGTCGGGCTTCTTGTAATTTATGTGACCCTCGTGAATATATTCGCCCGCGTGAGTGGTGCGACTGCGTTTTAAAAAATACGGTGCTCAGCAGGTAGCCGACGGTTGCCCCCGATTCGGTGTGCTCCGGAAGCCTGCGCAAGGAACAGGAAAAAGAAAAGGGTCGCAGCGGTCCGTCTTCCTTAAGATGTCGCTCTGGCGCAGCGAAATATTTCTTGGATCTGTGGAACGCTGCCGTTACCTTGTCGCTTGTTCATGCCAAAATCCTGTAGCTGTTCTTACGGTAAATGCATCGCTTTCGCTGTTGCTACTTTTATTTTTATTTTTTCCCCGCATGACAGTACGCCGGCCAAGATATGTATTCCTCCGCAATATCTCTGCTTCGTGTCCTTACGGCTAGCTCGTGCAGACTACGGACGATTCGCTATCTGCACGTCCTTGACACGTACGTGCACTAGAAGCGGCGGTTGGGCAGCAAGCCCTTTCGCCACGCGCCTGTGACATCGGCGTATATCGTAGGGAGCGATAGCAAGAGTGCGGAAGAAGCGAGTTACAAAACCTTTTGTCAAGAGTGCGGGTCACCCTCGGGTTTGTCTTCTGTCTATGGGCAAAAGCCGTGGCTCGGGGCGAACGCGTTGCGCCATTGTTTGTGGCTTTGATTTTTTCTTAGATTTTTGCACAATCCAACAGCTTTTCCAAGACGAAGCGCTTCTGTCGTAGCTCGCACATGATGTACGCGTGATAGACTTTGTAGGGACGGACTTCGCGTTACCAAGGTGCCTAGAGCAGATACAGACTCGCTAATGGAGGCTTTCAGAATAGTTTTGTCCCCGTAAGTATGCAAAATACGCACGTAAAACAAAACACGCACGATTTTTTTTTTTTGCATTAGGCTCTCTCACCAAAATGCGACCACTGCAACCTGAAAAAGCAACCAAGCTTCACGCTTACTGCCTGCTGTAAAGGTGACAAAGCTAAGCTCTACGCATCAGCATCAAATAATACGTATAAATATATAATGACATGCGTATTCTTCATTGGTTGTGCAACCAGATATTGCTATCCATGGCATTTTAGTACATGCTATAGACACGCCTAGAGTGACGTCAGGTACTCAGAAAAGCTTGTGTTTTGTTTCATTTTTAGTTTAGGCTGGTATTTTTTGCTACGAGTGGGTTACTACAGGTAAGTAAAGTACCTAGCCATATAAACAGACTGTGCATGTGCAGTGGTGAAGACACTACACATCCTTCAACAATGAGCACAACACAGCAGTGCATGTTACACATAGTATATGGGCTGTGCGTACTGTAGTCAGAGATTCGAACATGACCTTTTTTTTTGTATGACGACTGCTGCAATTGCTCGAGGTAACCACGTCATGTCGCGACGAATCTAGTCGGTCGGTAAAGATATGTTGGCTCTGATCTGCGCGTCGCAGTTTAAACTGCGCTAATATGACCCGAGCTGAGGACGCTGGAAACAAAAGTATGCTTGTGCGCTACTTGGCTCTAAACTATCACGTTTCAATCCGAGAGTACCGTAGATGGTGTAACAGGCACTTCCGCTCCGTATGCCTCCCCAACTTACTAAACCACTTTTTTGATTAGTATATACCAATGTGTGCACTACAAATATTCGCTATCAGAGCGCCTATAACTCGTAAATATAGTCGACAAATCGACACCTTTGCACCCATGATAAAAGTTAATGCTAAGTAAGCACCGGAGAGGGCCAGAAAAAATTTCATCGCAGATATTTGTACGTAGAACGGGGAACCAGTGTCGCTAGTATAAGAAGTCTTTCTGACCATTCCGAAACAATAACACACCGAGAAGCGCTCCACAACACATACATATGTGTGCAATATAATCCGATCCATATTTTCAACTACATTTGTCGCGAATACGAAGCTCCAAAAACGCTTTAGAGTGATCCAATGGCCTTGTTTTTTATCAAAGAAAAATCTTGAAAAGCGATATCGGTGAAGCGGGTCTTTCTACTTATTGTTCTCGATTACTTGGAACTACCACGCAAACATACAACTTATTCATATTTTATCTGATATCTTAGCGTCCCTGAATCTACATGCAAGTGTATATAGCGTGTGTACCTTCCCGTTCGAAACGGCAATCGCAAACAACTAACGGCCGGTAGCGATCACTCAGCGCAGCCCGCCTTGTAGCACAAGTTCTCTATACCTGCACCGTGGAGCTACAGCAACCCTTTTTTCCACCACGCCCATTTTAAGTCATTGCTGATCACAGCACCAGGGGTATACCGCTTCTTTCATTTATACTGCAGCGCAAAGCGATAGATAAGAAAACAAAGTATGAAAATAAAAATGCGTACTCGATTATACCATCATTCCACAGGCAACCCGAACAAATCACATGGAGCGAACATCAAACGGAGACCGCATGTATATATCCTCAGCCCGTTGACGAGGAGGTATATATAAAGCTGATGTGCATTCAAGGAACAGGGTACCTCGGCGTACCAAGAGCCGGGGCACATTACTGCCCACTACTGGTGCATTCTGGAGGACCGCAGAAGGATCGGAGGTGACCCCCCTGTGACCTCATTAGCGCGCTGTGGTGGCGCGCTGGGGGTAGATCCGGCGGCTGCTATAGTGGACTGCTGCCCGCTCCTTGCTGCGCAAAGCCTCTGGTCATCGGCCGATTTCGTGAATTAAACAAATCACGACCACCGGGGGTCGCTGCCTTCGTAAACGCTTCCCGCAGCCTCGATGTTGTAGTGCCCGCTAGCAGTGGCGTGGTGCGTTGCAAGGAAGCTCTAGGGGGAACGTGCTGGTTTGGTCTTCTTGAACATGACCCTCGCACCCGATATCACGGCCTGATGGATTGCAGGACCGCCGTTTTTCCAATTACCCCCGACCGATGCGTCTCTGTCCGCATGCGGCAAGCTGCGAGCTTGCATACGAGTTTCCGTCAATCCCGATTAGTCTCTTGCTGTTTTGCGGCGCGAGCCGGAATTGAGCGAACACCTAATTGGCCCAGGCTTCTCGATGGTTTGTCAGACGTGTCCGCGAGTCACGTTAGTTTGTGTAACGGTGCTCACTTCAGCAAAAATACGGCGGTGTCGAATTCACTGGTAGTATGTAGAAGACCCCTGTAAATTGTACCGTTCGAAAAGCTCCGATCGGAACGAAAACATTGAAGCGTGCGTAACCGCAGGAAACTATGCGCGAGCACGGCATGCAGCTCTGTAGTATATAACAGAGCGACGACGCAGCTGGCACGCGTTTACCGAGGACAAGTCAGAGCTTCACGCATGATTACGTTGTGCTCTAAATGTACATGGTTTAAATTGGTTGAACCCTGAATCAGTGGCCGATGGATTGCCGTGACGGAAATAGTCCTCAGTGCCAGAAGGATGGTCGACTATGTTGACATAAGGGTAAAGCTTCAACTACAGCCTCGCAGAGGGCATACGTCCTATATACATTATATATATATATATATATATATATATATATATATATATATATATATATATATATATATATATATATATATATATATAGTTGTGCAACTGATAACAAAAACAGTGTAGCAAAATTTTTCGAGTGGCGCACAAAAAGCCCGACTGTACTGCAATTGACTGTGGAAAACAAGCGCAAATACAGAAGGATAGAAAGAAAGTTTAAGCCTCTTCACGAGGTGAGGTAATGAAGGATAAAGCAATCCAGTGCACTTGTGTATAGCATACTTTAGAACCGTGGTTCTCGAGTGGGGGTCTGCGGACCCCGCGTGGTGCTCAGAGGCATTTTTTTTTT